TCCAGTATGAATGAAACAGACATTAAATGTGTTTATAGCGCTCAATAATGGCCAATCCATCCTATTTTGGGTATTTATTTATTTATTTAAAGTATTGGTTCAGGCACCGTTTAGGCACCGGTACCGTTTTAAAAGTATCGATTTGGCACTGGTATCGTAAAAAACCCAAACGATACCCAACCCTAGTTGTATAAGAGTTTTCAAAGTAAACTCAGTATATGGGTGTACCTCTCATTGTCTGTTCTTTTTCAACCAAGTAAGTGTTGGTGCTCGACTGGAGGATATGTTAACCTCTTTCAGAAGATTTTCCACTAAGCTAAACTGCAATATAACTGGTACACAAACAAACAGCACATTTCTGTTCTCCTAATTCTAGTTTGAGAACTTATTTTAACATCTAAATAAAATTAATCATCACAAGCTGGCTTTGATTAAATGTTTTTACATACAGGCCCGGTTTCATAGACAGGGCTTAGCCTAAGCCAGGATTAGGCCATAGTTCAATTAGGACATTTAAGTAATTTTTATAAACATGCCTTAGAAAAAAGTATTACTGGTGTGCATCTTAAGACAAAACAAAGGCACTGACATGTTTTAAGATCAGTCAGTGCAAGTTTCTTTCAGTTGAAACAGCTCAGATTTACATTTTAGTCTAGGACTAGGCTTAAGCCTTGTCTGTGAAACCGGGGGACAGTATATTATGAACAAAATGTATAGTTATCAATTTAAATATATGATATTTTAAAAAAATTATAATTTAATTTCACACAACTGGATCATTCTGTGTAAGTGATAAAAATTTGGGGTCAATAAGATTTTTTTTTTTGAAAGAAATGAAAACTTATATTCTGCAAGGATGCATTACATTGACAAAAGTGTCAGTAAAGATTTTATAATGTTACAGAAGATTACTATTTTAAATAAACACTGATCATTTGAAACGTATTCTATTAATCAAATCATCAATCAAATAATAATAAAAAAATGTTTTCCACAAAAATATTAAGCAGCACAACTGTTTTCAACATTGATAATAATAAGAAATTTTTGTACCAAAATCAGCATCAAATCATCATATTAGAATAATTTCTGAAGGATCATGTGACAATGAGGACTGGAGTAATGGCTTCTGAAAATACAGATTTGATAGCACAAGAATAAACGGCACTTTAAAATATATTAAAATAGAAAACAGCTGTTTTAAATTGTAATAATATTCTGCAATTTACCTATTTTTATTGTAGTTTTTTGATCAAATAAATGCAGCTATGGTGGGCAAAATATAATTCTTTCAAAAACAAAAATCTTACTAACCCCATTTATTTATTGTTTTATTTATTTATTTATTATTATTATTACTTTTTTTGCATAACAAACTAAATTTCTAGTTATCAGTTCAAATAAACGATATTTATAAATGCAATTAATTTCAGACTGTGGAAAAAAGTGGATAAATCAGTGTCTGGAGAAGCTGTTTAAGTCACAAAACTATGAATAGAAAAAGTTGGAAAATGCATGAGGACTCAGGGGTACTAACCTGGACATGGCGTAGTATTGCACTCCTGGAACTCTTGGGCAGGACCGAGGCAGGTGATTCCTCCATATTTGGGTTTGGGGTTGGAGCAGGTGCGTTTGCGGTTTCGGACACCTGAGCTACAGTCCTGACTACATTGGCTCCAAGGCCCCCAGGCAGACCAGCCTCCATTTATGGTCAATCCAGTGATCCGTCCAGAACGCAGCAAATCTCCTAAAACAAGAATAAACACACACAAGACTAGGTCAAATAGAATCATGGGAATTTGATGCTCTTAAATAAACCCTGACAGGGCTTTCATTTCAGAATTTTCTGAGATTAATATTTCAAAAAATGTTTCAATCTATTATTTAAAAAAAAATCATCCATACTACCTGAACTATTTCAAAAGAATAGCTCAGACAGCAAAATGGATTTTCACATCATAGTTATCCATGCCATTCACAACTATTACAGCAGATACATTTATCTTATCAAACAGAGTGTTTTTGCCGCAGAGTATCTCTCTATCCGTCTGCACCGTGACCTCTGTGTTTGTACCTCTGACCTTGAGCGTGATCCATCTGTGACAGTCCCTGTGAGCCACAGCCATTTATCCATGCGACGGCGCTACATGGGTCGACCTATAATCTCTCCAGCACCACAGCACACAGCCCTCTCAAAGGTAATAGACTACTTCATAATCTACTCACACCTCAAAGCGGGGCGCCTGGCTCTGATGGCTAATGGCAAGGGAACACAGGTGTCAGTGCATGCTAGACCCGCAGGAAAACAAACCGTGCTGCGTTCAGTAACTTTAACCAAGAAATGACTGACTACATTGATTTTTACAAAAGTGTAAAGTCATATTATGGAATTGGATTTGACTTTGCTGTGCTTGCTGGTTGTTAAGATCCCATGCAAAGTGAAGAAGACAAATTGCGATTAAATACTTTAAAAAAGGCAACGCTAAAGCATACGCTCTGAACTTTCCTGACCCAGATTCTGTGATTTCTTAGACAATAGGATCAGCGGTATATCTGCCGAGTGAGATGGGTGGCATTATATGCTGCACAATCAAGGAAATGAATAGCTCTTGTGGATTAAGAGTGTGGCTTTTACGCAATTCCCCAGAGCTGTCGTAAACTGTCTGGCGGTCACCCGTGCTTATTAAAAGTTAGGGGGTGGGCAATTAGAATGGACTCCCTGATGGGTTTGCGTAGTGGGTGGTTAACGCCTCTGCAAATACATGTAATTACCATTGACATACAGCGTTCTAGCGTCGCAAGAGACACAAATGGTCAACTGAACAGTGTGGGGTGCTCATAAACACCAGGGTCCAAAAGTCTGAGACCACTGGTAAAAATGCTTCTCTTTGTTTTTATTTCTATTATATTTTAGGTATGCACGGTATCGAATTTTTGCCGATATCTGATATGCCGATATTTTTCAACTTAATTTGGCTGATACGGATATATTTCCTTTTGTTTGGAAACAACACCAAGTCTCTCCTGTGATTATAAACAAATTATATAAACAAAAACTTACTTGTTAGAATTAAGCCATTATCGGACGATTCTGATAACATTCCGATAATATCGTGCATCCCTACTCTATTTCATTTTTTTATTTAATATAATTTAATAATTGTAAAATTAAGATTTATATTAATTTGTATTTTTTTAAGTCTCAAATTATATTTTTTGTAATTAAATGTAATTTAACATTTTAAGTATAAATTACATTATTTGTACCTAATGAATACAATCTAACAGTTTTTAAATAAGTTATTATTAATTTGTAATTATCAAACATACATTTTTTAAATTTGTTAATTTTTTATTTTAATTTAATTAATTAGAAATTATATGAATTTGTAAATATTGACTATAATTTAATATTTTTAAAATAATACAATCATTCATACATTATTATTCATAATACATACATTCATGATTGAATATAATTTAACAGCTTTTTACATTAGAAATGACTAATTTGAAATTATTAAATCTAATTTAACAGATTTAAAAAAAATAAAACTACATGATTTGCAACTACTGAATGAATTCTAATAGCTTTTTAAATGAGAAATTGTAATTGCAATTATTAAATATAATTTAACAGTTTTCTAAAAATGACAAATAATATTTTTCTAATATTAAAACTAGTTTAATATTTTTTTATTAATTAATAATTATTTCACATTTATATTATATTATTTGTAATTAGCAAAAATAATTTGTTTTTAAAATACAAATTCAATTTATTTGTAATTATTAAAAAGAATCGTTTTAAATTACAAAATATAATGACACATTATCATAACAATTTGAAAGAACTGAACTGAAAAAAAAAATCATAATGTCTTTGGTTTGCGTCTGTTTTGCTTTAATAAAAGCAGCACTCGAGATGCATGAACTGCAAAAGTTTTAAATTTGCATTTAGTATAGGTTCAGTTTTAAATTACATTTTTAATCCCAGATTTTCAGATGTTCTCTCAGACTTTTGGGCCTGACTGTATAAGGTTGAGATTTTCTATTTTGTAACCAAGGACAGTTGTATTGCACCACAGAGAAATTTGCCAGCTGAGATCCTAAGGTCTGCAGAATCTGACACTGAGTGGGATTCTAACTGATGGCAGATCTGTGGGGAACCGACAGTAAATAGCCTTGGAGATATCAGCTGCTTCTCAGAGAAAAGGAGGTGGAAAGAAAGAAAAAAAAAGAGAGAGAAAGACAGAGATGAAGAGATGGAGCTGCCCGTGCAGCATGGTATTTAGATGAGAAAATAGTGCTAAAGTCACATGCTAAAATTATGTGCTATTGTTTCTGAGATAAATGAAGGCATCACTCATAGCCAAATTACAAACCTGGGCCATCATCAGTTACAGCCTCTGGCTTATGCTGCAAAGAATCTCAAGGTTTTAAGATAGCTTGACTGTTTGGCAGCATTTTCATTTTAGCCACTGCCATTACTCCAGCAAACAAATAGCTATAATGGTGCATGTATTGATTTTTATTGTACTGAAGGTTAAGTGTTAAACACTTGCACTAAAAGAAAAATGGTGCTGTATGGTAAAGAAAGCTACAGAGCTTTTTTTGTGTGCAAAAAATGTTGTTATCACCCTTTCAGTTTCTAAACTATAGCTCATGAAATTGCAAACTATTCCCTCATTTTCACAGTTTGTACCTCTTAATGTTTAAACTACCCAAATTGGATCGACTAATCAGTGGGTTGCCTGAACAACTATTAACATAATAACTACTTAATAATAATTAGGCTGGTCTGAGGTTCATATGACCCCGATCAGATATGTTTTTTTAGGGGTTAGGCGTATTAGAAACATTCTTGTTTAAAATGTTCAACAACAGCTAGATGGAGCAAAACAGCACAGAATGCAGGGGTCTCAAGATGTACTATTGTTGGACTGTTTTTAATTTGATATGGTTTTCTAAAAAATGTGGCAGGACACTCATAAAAACAGAGCAAGATGTGACAACAGACAAGGATACACAAAAGTTTGCGGTCGGAAAGATTTTTTAAATGTTTTTGAAAGACGTCTCTTGCACTAACTAAGGTGGTATTTGTTTGATCAAAAAATAAAAATGGTAATATGGTCAAATATTATTACAGTTTAAAATAGCTGTTTTATATTTTAATATATTGTCAAATGTAATTTATTCCTGTGATGCAAAGCTAAATTTTCAGTATCATTACTCCAGTCTTCAGTGTCACATGAACCTTCAGAAGAATCGTTCTAATATACAGATTTGGTGCTCAAGAAACATTTCTCGTTATGATCAATGCTGAAAACAGTTGTGCTGATTAATATTTTTGTGGAAACCATAAAACAATACCATTTAAAAGTAAATAAAAACAAACTATATAATAATAATAATAATAATTTTATTCAGCAAGAACGCAGTAAATTGATCAAAAGTGTCACACGATCCTTCAGAAATCATTTTAATATGCTGATTTGGTGCTCAATAAGCATTTCTTATTATTATCAATGTCGAAACAGTAATAGTTTTTTTCAGGATTCTTTGATAAACAGAATCTTCAAAAGAACAGCATTTATTTGAAATAGAAATCTTTTGTAAGCTTATAAATGTCTTAAACCAACTTTTGTCTGAATGCATATGGCTGTAGCAGTGGCATTTTACAGGGGATGAATTTAAAGATTTTTCAGAGTGTTTTTTTTTTTAACCATGTAATCTGTCTAAAAGCGAAAACCCAGCACGCTGTCTGCATGTTAACTTAAGCACTGCTGAAAATGTGTCAGATGACTAGATGATTGTCATCTGTACCTTGAATAATCTCAGAGGACAGAATTTTCAAACGTATAAACACTGGTAAATTTAACTGATGATCATCAAAGTTTGAACAAACACAGGCAGCAGTTTATCAAAGAAAGTGATGTTGATATCTGACAATGTTTTATATTTTTATTCAGGTTAATCTACTTATAATAATTAAGTAAACAGACTGCAGCTCACTGAATCAGTGAATAACGACCAGCTGCTGTGGACACTGATAATTTCTTTCATTGCTCTTAAAAAGACAGCAGAGAAATCAAGGAACCTTATCTGCACAAAGCCGATTTACATTTGCCTAACAAAAAAACGGACATCAAATGCATTTCCAATCTGAAAATGTCAGCCAGGGCTGATTCTGCTGATCTTGTTTCTTTCATACTGTTGATATTAGACAGAGAGAGAAGCTCAGACCTCAAAGCCTTGATAAAATAGCAACAAACACGTGACTTCTACTTGACAATGCCAAGGTGACTTCCAGAGACCTGCTCACTCAGTTCATCTACAGACAACTGAATGTCTTTGTGCTTTTATAAATAAATTTTACAAAATGAAAAGAGCCGATTTTAACATAATACATAGTAGGCTTCAAAGATTGGTATTAGCTAACCAGCTAAGCTAATTCTAAGTCAACAAGTAGCTTTGAGTGTCTTAACAACACGAGTATTGTGTTGACAATATTCTAGAACCCTTGATGTAACCACATACAGTCATTCCTCCACTTGAGATTGTTCCACATGAACACATGCAATGACACGCTGTGCTTTATCACCCTCTCTTTCACACAGGCATGGCTTATGGATTCAAATCGATATGGGCCAGCCGAGACATGAGGCTAAATCTTGGCCAAGTGGCAGCCCATTCATTTCAGAACTCATCTTCCCTTGTGGCTTCACTGACATCAACACACATCTT